GGTCCCTCTTTCCAGGTTGTTGGAATAACCGGCTTGATCTTGACAAAACTGGATGGATCAGCCAGAGGAGGCTGTGTGGTAAACCCTGCCGGTCTCTGTTCCCGTCCCTTTAGTTTCGGAGAATTTTGCTCAATAAGCAGTAGTCTAAACACTTGCAGGTCAGCGTGGTTGATGAATTGGGCATTCCCGTAAAGTTTATCGGAGTAGGGGAAGGTGTAGAAGACCTCCAACCCTTTGATGCTGAGGCCTTTGTCAACGCTATATTCTCCTAAGGCCTAAACCCTAGTTTTCCGACTGCTTCTCAAGGGCCATTCTCTTCTACAAAGGCAAACATGCATTCCCACCCGAGCAAAGCAGCTGCAGTTTCACTAGATTGCTTCATTCGGTGCAAATATCTCGGTATGCATACTTGTGCTGGGAGTGCAGTCCATGTGCATTTAGACACAAGTCATTGATCAAAAAGGAGATGTAACTAACAAGTTGAGCAATGCACATGCATAAATATATCAGCAACCATGCCGGTTTTTTTTTTTGGATACATGTACTTTTCTGAATTCAGAAAAGTTGTTATTGATCAAGTTCCGGAGACTGGGTATCGAAAATGCAGAGATTAAAGCTTGGAGGTGGGGAGATTGTAGAAGGTGGCTCGGGCGATATAGGCGAGCTTCTTGGTGTCCTTGATCTTGAACTCAACTGTCACAACTGTTAGGTTTCTTCCACTCCTTACCAAAGAACCCTCCACCACTACTTCAGACTGTTAACCATTGACAGAGTCACAATGAAAAGAGCCTTAAAAGAGATGTCTAGTTAGCCTGCAAGTCTAACCTAACCACATTCAGACAAAGAATCAGAAGTAGTAGACCGCATTAAGAACAAAATCAGTGTGATCTATCCTTGGTAGAGATTCAGACAAGACAAGATTCATCTTTTTTTGTTAAAGGTGAGAAAGTTTAAGGAACAGAGGACAGTGTCTCACCGTGAGAGGGGCAGAGGAGAGATAAGAGATGCTCAGTTCCCCGAGAAAGAGCTGCTTATCCTCAGCCACGACGGTCCTCGCACAAGCAATCGCCACTCTCTCTGCAACTGATGCTACTACTCCTCCATGTAAACCTTTGAAGACATTCTTCCAAAAAAACCCATTAACTCAATTGGATCAGAATCCTCGTATTATGTTCAATTCGAAAACAGGGGCGGAGGAGGAAGAAGAAGAAGAAGAAGAAGAAGAAGAAGAAGAAGAAGAAGAAAGAAGCATAGGTTTTACAACGAGAGATGGTTGGACGGAGAGTGAACAGGTGACGCGACCGCGCGCGACGGAGAGAGCTGTGAGATAGTGGCAGATGATGTCGGAAAACGAGTCGGCGGAGGTGAAATCGCCTCCGACCAAACCCGAAACTCCGATGTTCTCGAAGAATCGTACGACCGCCGTTGCGTGTTTCGGATCTACAGCTTCGGACGGAGACATGTTTTTTTTGGGGGGTTTGGTTTCTGTTCCAAGTTTCGGGGAAGTGATTTAATGGGAGGCACGTAAAACTAAGACCCATTGGAAGCCACACATTCTAAATCTATCTCCGTCTTCACTGTTAGTTCCTGACTCCATGGCAAGTTTAGATCAAAGGGTACATCATCATTGGTAAAAATCGAACATACAACACACGATATTCTTTCTTGTCTTGTTGGGTTTTAAGGTAACAAAAAATAGAGGCTTTTAGTTCTGATGGTTCCTCTGTAAAAGCATAATCTATGGAGTCTGTAATAGGAGATGGTGAACAAATGGAAACAGTAAGATGGCTCAAAGTCTCCGCCTTTTGGGTACGATACGAAGAAGCATGTAATCTTCTCTTCTTTTCCTCAACATCCGCTTCCCCTTGATGCTGTTGAATCTCGACGTCCAAATCTTGGTCTTGTGGCTTGGCCTTTTGGTCCGTTCTCTGGGTTGTCCTCTCTTTCCGGTTTCAGTTTGGGTCTCTTCCTCTTCATTGGGCAGCAGAACGATCGAATCCATGGGTGGAAGGGCATACATGTCAGGGATCGGATTTAGCTCCTCTTCGGCCAAAACGTTCTCGGGTACATCAAAGTCTTCTGAATCAGAGCTCGTGTCATCAGAAGATTCATCTTCGCCTGCAATACGTAGAGAGTTTCATGCAAGATAGAGTCATTAGACCCGGAAGGAGAACCCTCTTCGTGTTTTCCTATTACAGATACAGACGAAAGCTGTGTCGAGATTTTACTGACTTCAACTGAGTTTATCATCTTGCAAGAACACAACTCAAAGCTGCTTTAGAAATTCCTTTATCAAATTATTCTCAAGAATTATCTTCATTTTCAAGTTGCAATCCAGAAGAAGAAGAAGATGATGATGTTTTTACCATCTGAACCGGGCTTCGGGCCAACCACGATTTGACAGTTGGAGCTGGTTGGCATGTCACCTTTTCTTGGTTTGCCATGAAAATACTGCAAGAACGAGCGGAAATAAACAAGGGGCAGCGTCCGAGTAAATGCATTATTTTTAAAACTAAAGTCTGTTTATCAGTCCATGTACCAAGAAACAAAAAATCAAACTCACAGGTGAATAGATGGAAACAAGTGCAACTTCAGCATAATGGACATAACGCATGAGGTTCTCATAAGAGGAAAACCGCTGCTTAGTTTCTGGGCATATGTAGTACTGCACAATATTATAAGAAGAGATGTTAAACACCGTGAGTGTATACATTTACTCCGAAACATATACCAAACCAGAATGTGGACAAGCACAATAAATTTATCGGTAGTATTGACAATGCCAAGGGTTCAAAAGCCGGCATCACAAAAACAGACAGAGCCATTTGGTTTTCTTGTTAGCTTCTGTAGCATATACTCATATCCAAGGATCCTCTGCAACTATGGCATAGGAACTTTTAATCCATGGAACAATATGGTCATTGTGACCTGCTAAAGGACGACCAAGGCGGTCTGATAGCATCCAATAAGAGACGCATAATAGGTTTGGTTGAAATCATAGGGCATAATCATCCAAAGATAGGTAAATGAGGCACGGAGAAGTTACGAGATTCGGGAGATCAGAGTAATAAAAGAGAACACTTTGGGACAAATCCATCAAATCTTCCAAACTATCAATGTTAAAGAAAAGGAATCAAAAGACAAAACACAACAAAACCACGAGGGTAATGTATCATAGAAACATGACTGAATGTTAAATTGTTCACCATACCGAGTAATGAGTACCGTTCTTCTTGGTTCCCTTCACCAGTCGCCAGCCATCGGGGATCGGCCTCCTCGAATTCTCTTCTGCATCAAAAATAACCAAGCTATCAGAGTCCTGTTCCGATGAATTGCGTTTCGTCATTTCATAAATGAATCAATACAAATGGCTCTTCTCCCTATTGTGTATATGAATCCTAATTTCTCTTATGGTAAAAAATCTCCAACCCTAAGTTTGGTGGAACAAAACGCTTTATAAGGAAAATTTGCAAAAAAACCCGATGCCACGTGTAGAACTCGTCCCTGTCCGCTACACTATAAATGGGAATCGGAGAACACTTCCAGTAAGATTCTGCTACTACCATTTGCGCAAATAAATCTTACCCCCATACTCTAAACTTACCTCATTGAATAATTTCCGATGCAAACGGGAAAAAACTGTAAAACGTAGAAGAAAGCATGGAAACAAAAGCAAGTTTGGGTTTAGGCATTTCAATGGACGCCACATACTCGTGCCAAACCCCATGCCGTTATCCTGTCAGAAACAAACTAAACTGCAAGCATATGAACTGCACTGACATAATGATAATCACGGAAAACAGAGATACAAATATATTCCCAATAGAGATTTAGTTACCAAGAACGGTTGGTAGCTATCGATTCCAATAATTCAGAATACAATCCCTGCATGAAAGGTGCAAAAGCAACAGGATAAATGCGAACGAGAAACAATACTTTGTTCAATAAATGAGTTTCTTGGGCCATACCAACGCTACATATCAGTCATCTCCATCACAATAGTTTCACTACTGAACTTCAATCCCAAGACATCATGTTTATCTCAAGCAGCCAATCTAACAGTTCCGATAACTTCAGTCCATTGTCCGAAAATCAAATGGCGAAACACATTAACTTATCAAGAAAAAGGATCCAACTGACAACGTTTCACCAATTAATGATCTTCCTCCTGTTCCTGCATACTCCCTTTTTCCCAAGATAACAACAGAACATGTGAAGTAAGAACTTCAATCAACAATTCAAATTCAAACATATCGTAATGAACTCTTGTTGCACACAAAACAAAATCTCTTCCAAGAGTTCATCAGACACTTCGATCACAATACACCATAAACCTCGGAAAACTGGAAATTCGACCAGAAAACTTCGGAATAACCGGAAAGGATTGCCCTTTTTAACTTACCTATTAAAGACGAGAGGAATCATTGTGCAGAGAAACCCTAGAAGGACGAATTTCAGAAAATTAATCAAAGGAGAAAGATAGCATTGTTACACGCCGATGCTCGGACCCGTCGGACGGCCAAGGGAGCCGCTTCAGACGCGTCGTATGACCATCTTCAACATAATATTGGATTTCACTGATCACATTATTATAGGCCCATTTATGATCAAGGCCCAAATATGTTTTTATCGGCCCGACTTTTTATGAATAATTCTTATTTGGCCCCTCATATTTTGTTAAATACTAAAATAGAACCAAAAGTTTGCCGTCCGGGACCGGCGTCGATCGTCGACCAAATGCACGTCTAATTTCTTTCCCAGGTTTCATCTTAAAATTTCTTAGATTTTGATTGGAGTTATGAAATTAGGGTTCGTTTAGACACGATTTTGCTTCGAATTAGCTCAAATCAATCGAATGGATTAGATAATCATGGGATAGATATGCTCTCATCGATTAGCTAATCGTCCCTTGGTCGTTGATTACACGCGCCAAGAAGAGGGGAGATTCATCTGGACACTCTGGAGATGTTGATCATGGAGTGTGTTTCACACAGTTGATGACAGTTTCTTACCATTTCGATTGATGGAACAATTTCGAGGATTATGAATTTGCTGGGTCTGCATCTGGGGCCACTCTATGATGAAATTTCTGGAAAAGGAACCAACTTTTTGGCATTTTCCACAACATCACTGTATGGTGCCACGTGGCTTCATGGTTTCCACTCCACGTTCCTTGGCCAATACTTCGCTTTACGTATATGACGAAGATACAGACAGAAGACGCAGAAGCCTGTTGTTCTCCATCTCACTTCTGTCTGGAAACTAGGAAAGAGGTTCACAATCACGATGACAGACCAAGTGACTAGGTATTCTCATTCTTGTCCAAAATTTGCTCGTTTCCTGTTCTAATGGCCTCAGTTTTTCCGGATCTCGCAGGTTGGCAGTGGTTACTGGGGCAAACAGAGGGATAGGGTTGGAGATTTGCAGACAATTAGCAAACAAAGGGATTGCAGTGGTTTTGACCTCTAGAGACGAGAAAAGGGGGCTTGAAGCTGCCGAGAAACTGAAGAAAGAGCTCGGTGTTCCTGATCAAGACATCGTGTTTCATCAGCTTGATGTGGCTGATCCTGCTAGTATCACCACTCTTGCCGAGTTTGTGAAATCCCGATTTGGAAAACTCGATATCCTGGTATGATTGATTATCTTTGCTTTCTTTTGGCTTCAGTTAGGACTTATGTTTAGTTTACAATAATCTGGTCCTAGTTCTGTTCTTTAAAGCTCATATGTTGTAAAAAAACAGGACTTAGTAAGATGTAAAGCTTATTGTTTTCTTAGTTGAAGCTCATGTCTAGAAGTAAATGCTCTTCATTAATTTTTGTAAATAATTTGCTCTGAATAAGTTCTATATTGCTGGTTAGATTCTTATAGATCATACAGTAAAAGCAGAGTGGTCTTTGCAGGTCAATAATGCAGGGGTTGGTGGGATTATCACCGATGTCGATGCTCTGAGAGCCGGAATGGGGAAGGTAACTGCGACATTAGTTAGATTGAGCTCATGAAATCTCTGTTCTAGTGAAATGCTTTTGGTGTGAAGGCTCTTTTACAATGGTTATGGCAGGAAGGGTTCAAGTGGGAAGAGGTCATCTCTGAAACTTATGAGCTAGCTGAAGAATGCATCAAAATCAATTACTATGGTCCAAAGAGAATGTGTGAAGCATTTATACCCCTTCTTCAGCTCTCTGATTCTTCAAGAATCGTTAATGTATCATCCTCCATGGGAAAACTAAAGGTGATCAATTGATGACCGATATGCTTGAGCTCTCTTGGGGGTATTTGATCATAACTGTACCATAACCTCGCTTGTGAACTCTCTGTTTTTGGCACCAGAATGTGGTGAACGAATGGGCTAAGGGAATTCTCACTGATGCGGACAACCTCAGCGAAGAGAAAATAGACGAAGTGCTAAACCAGCTTCTGAAAGATTTCAAGGAAGGCATAGACAAAACCAAGAACTGGGCCAAGTTTATGTCTGCTTATGTGGTCTCGAAGGCCGCGTTGAATGCTTACACGGGGATCTTGGCCAAGAAATACCCATCTTTCCGAATCAATGCTGTGTGTCCAGGGTTTGTGAAGACAGATATTAACTTCAACACTGGAGTTTTGTCTGTTGAAGAAGGAGCCTCAAGTCCGGTTAGGTTGGCTTTGCTTCCAAATGATGGCCCTTCTGGTTGTTTCTTTGATCGTAAGGAAGTTTCAGAGTTCTGACATTCTCTTCCATGCAGACTGCATATGGAGTGTCTTGTCCTTGTGTAATGTACGTGTAATAATGATAAGTTGCATACCCAGGAGGGGAATAAATGATAATGTAAAATCAATAAATATGGATTTTAATGTTAAATTTCTTCAGCCTATGTTCCGTGGTCTATAACTACTCTACGTATGTATGAGGAAGAACAGTCAAACTTTGACGTGTTCTTCTAAGTTCAGTCAAACTTTGCTTGCCAAGACTTTAAGAAGTCAAGCAGGAGAAGGTTGTTCTAAAGCATCTCGCTTCTGTCTGGAAGCTAAGAAAGAGGCTCAGAAATGGCAGACCAGACAACAACAAGGTGTTATTACCAAATCTTGTCTCAGTTTCTAACTTGTAACCGTTGTTCTGTCTTTTCCTTGTTCTTCATCAGTTGTAATGTTTCACAGGTATGCTGTAGTGACTGGTTCAAACAGAGGGCTTGGGTTTGAGATATGCCGGCAATTAGCAAGAAATGGGATTACAGTGGTTTTGACAGCGAGAAGCGTGAACAAAGGGCTTGAAGCTGTCGAGAAACTGAAGAAAGAGATTGGTGTTTCTGATCAAAACCTTGTGTTTCATCAGTTAGATGTGACTGACACTTCTAGTGTCACTGCTCTCGCTGAGTTTGTGAAAACCCGATTCGGAAAGCTCGATATCTTGGTATGATTAATGATCCAAAACTGGTTGGATTCCTCTAGCTGAAGAATCGTATCATTTACTAAGCATGGGGTGGTCATTGATTGATGTGCAGGTCAATAATGCAGGGATTGGTGGGATGATATTGGATGGCGATGCTCTCAGAGCTGGGAAAGGGAAGGTGATTAACTACGCGTTTAAAGTTCGATCAAGCCCGTGATACAGCTTTCTTCAAGTTCAATGCTTTCATGGAGTTAACTAAGATTATATATAACAGGAAGGTTTCAAATGGGAGGAGACCATTGAAGAAAACTACGAGCTCGCAGAAGAATGCCTCAAGATTAATTACTACGGTCCCAAGCAAATGTGCGAAGCTTTTGTCCCACTCCTCGAGTTATCTGATTCTGCAAGAATCGTCAATGTATCAGCCTTGATGGGAAGTCTAAAGGTGAAGATCTCGATCCCGTTTTGGTGTTAAGAGAGTGCTTGAACAATGAGCAGTCCTTTGTGTTCTTCATTCTCAGAATGTGACGAACGAATGGGCGAAGGGAATACTCAGTGACGCAGAAAATCTCACCGAAGAAAGAATAGACCAAGTGTTGAACCAGTTTCTGAAGGACTTCAAGGAAGGCGAGGACAAAACCAGGAACTGGGCAAAGTTCATGTCGGCTTACGTGATGTCCAAGGCAGGTTTGAACGCTTACACGAGGATCATGGCCAGGGAACGCCCTAGGTTTCGAATCAATGCGGTCTGTCCTGGCTTTGTCAAGACAGACATGAACTTCAACACTGGAGTTGTGTCTGTAGAAGAAGGAGCCTCATGTGCCGTGATGTTGGCTTTGCTCCAGATTGATGGCCCCTCTGGTTGTTTCTTCGATCGCAAGAAACTTGCAGAGTTCTGATTGATCTTCTCTGCGATCTGCTGCTGGATTTGGAAGTGTCTTTTGATAATTTATAATCTGAATAAATGTGGGTTTTAACCAATGTTTCTATCCATTTCGTTGTTCATAGTTTATTGTGTTTTCTCGACAATCTTTAATATAATTATGTACTAAATTTGGATAAAATAAAATAATAAATAAATGATTTTATGCTCTTACATAGACCTTGAAATAGATTAAAACTCAAGAAAACTATATAATATAAATATTATCACAGTAATTACTCCAAGGGAATAGCACGAAAAAAAATGTTTATTTCCCCAAAAAAGATATCCACGTGGCGTCAATCTGAAGACCAAAAGAGAGGACCAAATCTCAAGCAACACTTGAATCTATTCGCATCTTCAGACTTCCGCCATCATCTTGGAAAACTCTCCGTCTTCGTGATCTCTTCCACTGATTCAATGGCGGCGAGGATGCCCGGTGTGATCGCCTTGTTCGACGTCGATGGAACCCTCACGGCTCCGAGGAAGGCGGCTACTGGAGAGATGCTCGAATTCATGCGCGATTTGCGTAAGGTCTGTCACAGATTCGAATGTGTTCCTTGTTCAGAGGTTTGTGTTCGGTTTGTGTTCGACGAAATGTCTTTGAACTTCACAGGTTGTGACTGTTGGAGTGGTTGGTGGATCTGATCTTAGCAAGATATCCGAGCAGCTCGGAAAATCAGGTACGGCGATGCTCCTATCAGCTTGAGTTTGCGATAGAGGTAGTAGTGCTTCTTTTAGATGTACGGAAGACTTTGTGTTTTAAGAAGCGGATCCGTTCGTACTCAGAAAGGATCTCCGTTTTGTCATGTCGCCTGCGACATGAATCCTTTAGATGTACGGAAGACTTTGTCTGGGCACACTAGATTAAAGTGGTAAAGAAGAAGTTCGAGTGTTGTCCATTGAATGTTTCGGCTTCTCTCGCATTGGATTGTGTAAAGAGCCTTCCTTTTGTTATCTGCTTTCTTGATGGGCATTGTAGTTGTCATCCTGAAAATCCGCTAATGCTACTTTTAACGTTCTGAGTTTGCATTGTGCAGTCATTCACGACTACGATTACGTCTTCTCTGAGAATGGCCTTGTTGCCCAGAAAGATGGGAAACTTATCGGGAAAGAGGTACATTCGCTTATTCGTATTGAAGCAATGGCTTTCTATACATTCCGTAGTCATTTTCTGTGTGTGCCATTTATGATGTAGCCTTTCTCTGAAATGCCTTGATGGTTTGTGTATTTATCGCCTTGTCAGGATCTGAAGCAGTTCCTTGGAGAAGATAAACTCAAGGTAAAGAAACATTATGCCTGTTGGAATGGTTCAGAATCATTTTGGTAGCTGCTTAGAATTTTTGTAGCGGTTTAATGTCTGAAAAATAAAAGATGAAAGTCTGCAGTTCCGGGGAACTTGTTAAAATTATAGATGCTCCTTAGCGTATGCACATGTGTGTGTGATTATCATGATATGGTGCACATGGTGATGCAGGAATTCATAAATTATACCCTGCACTACATTGCAGACCTAGACATCCCGATCAAAAGGTATGTAAGAATCACAGCTACTAGTGTTGTGAAACTCAATATGTGTGTGAATGTATTTTAGTGGCTCTTAAAGTGATAAGAGAAAATCTTCATGGGGTGTAATACATAGGGGCACGTTCATAGAGTTTCGGAATGGAATGCTCAATGTGTCGCCAATTGGTCGCAACTGCAGCCAAGAGGAAAGAGACGAGTTTGAGAAATACGACAAGGTCAGGAACTATTACCATCGGATTTTTTTCCTACCAGGAGCGTTTGGTAACATGTTTATCAGTCTATATATTCACATCATTAACATTTTTGTTTTAGATTCACAATATACGCCCGAAGATGGTGGCTGAACTTCGTCAGAAGTTTTCACATCTTAATCTCACTTTCTCCATAGGAGGACAAATAAGCTTCGATGTGAGTCAGTGTCATATGATTTTGCGCTATTTAAGTTCGAGCTGTCGGACAAAAGACCTTTATATAACTTGTCACTGAACCTATTTGCTTGGTTACGATATGGAACAGGTCTTCCCTAAGGGTTGGGACAAGACATACTGCTTGCAATATCTCAAGGATTTCAATGAAATTCACTTCTTTGGTGACAAAACTTACGAGGTAGTACCTTAGATTTACCCATCCATTGCCCTTTTTTTTCCTGTCTAGGTCTACAAACTGAGAAATGTTAACCTTATGGTTACGGATTGGCAGGGAGGAAACGACTATGAAATTTACGTGTCGGAAATAACAATTGGTCATACAGGTGAGCTAGAACTTGGATATATATTTCAAACGAATATCTCGACCTGCGTTACCATGCTAATGTTGATCTTTGTACATGCTTTCTTGCTTGTTTGTTTCTGTTTTTTCGCAGTTACGACCCCGGACGAAACAATGCAACAATGCAAAGCTCTGTTTATGTCTTGAAAACACCATCCCATGAACAAACAAACACCATCCCGGTGAAAAACCGTTCTGCCGGCAAATTTTCAGAACATGTACTTGTTTTCTCATGTAATTTAATTTTGATTACTGCAGACTTCTCAAATTTGGATTCGGAACCAAAAGAAAGATTCCCAATATCTATATAAGACTGATATATGTTACTGCTTCGTAAAAGAATGAACAAATCATTATAATCGGTTTACAAAAAAAAGAAATGGAAATTATCATCGGGGTATACATATTCGTATAAAGCAAATCCATATAAAGCATCAAACTTTAACAAATCCCACAAAAAAAAAAACTCAGATTCCGTGGAAAACGGTGACCGGATTCAGCCCGAGATGTTCAAGACTCGCCGGCTGTTGGGTCCTGTTCCTCGGTCTTGGTGGCTGACGGTGACTCTCCGGCGTCTTCACCGCCATCTCCCGCAGTGGGTTTGTTCTGGTCATGGTCCGGGTCGTGGTCATGGTCGGCCGGCTCGGGAGGAGTGGAGGAGGAGGAGGCGGTGCGGCGGTGGTTAGCCGACTGGAGGACGTGATTGTAACTGCCCTTCTCAAGGAACAGCTGACTGAAGTGGGCCTTACAGTACAAGACGCCGTTCAGAGCCGCGTAGGAAGAGTGCGTGAGTGAGCAGCCGCTGTGTGCGCACCTGAAGCACGTCTTGTGGTAGCTCTCTCCCTCCAACGTCATCTTTTTTTGTTTTTTTGGCAAGAAAAAAAAAACATGACGAGAATGATCGTTGTTCTTGAAATATGTAAAGTTTTCGGATTGCGAGGAAACTGAAACGGACCTTTTCGAGAGGGTAAACGGTCTTCTGACAAGCCGCACATTTGTCTTGTGTTCCGCTGAAGAAGGACGATAACCTGTTCGGAGCCCTTGTCGGCGGCTGCTGCGGCCAGATTCATGCAAAGATCTCAGATATGAACGGGGAGAGAGAGAAACAAAGACAGAGATTCTGGATTGTGTACGAACCGCATCGTTGGGCTTGTCGGTCTTTCCAGATGCTTGGAAGTTCTTGCTGAAATTGCCAGATTCTTTGAAGAGCTGCTCAAAGTGGGGCTTACAGTACAGAACTCCGTCCATGGAGGAGTAGTTGCTGATCTGCACTCACCATCCGGAAAACAAAACGAAACCAGAATGTCCAAAACACATTCATATACACACACTGTTATATACTGTCGACAAATAAGGGAATCAGAGAGAGATATCCGTTCTAGATAGACGTCTGATCGTTTTGGCGTTGGAAGCAAAGCCAAAAACGAAGGTCGACTTTTAGGTTACGTGAGCATTAAGGTAACGGAGGAAAAACACGATATAATATAGATACCACGAGAGTGCCATTGCAATGGCTGCATCTGAAGCAGGACTTGTGATAAGGCATGCCCTCCAACGTTAACATGTCCATCACGTACACAGTCTTGTCACATGCCTTGCATTTGTCCAATGTCCCCGTAAACGCCATTGTTCTCTGGTCTTAATTTCTCAGAAAACCGACAAACAGAAGAATGGGAAAAGATCCTTTGGCTCTGTCCTTGGCTTATATGAAACGTGTTTTAATGCTCCAAAATCGAGAAATTTGGGTTCGGTTCGAGTGGTGGAGATTTCCCACGGGGGAGGGGACACGTGACTGGAAGAGAGTGGAAACTCCCCTAATAATGGGAAACCGATCTAATCTAATTGTGGATAACGCGGGGGCATTCTTGTCTTTTTCGCCTTCCCTCCCCCAGGAAATTCAGGTATGCGTTTCCCCGAGAATATCCCACGCTGCCACGTGTCTCTATCTTCCTCCCTCGAATTAATTGTACACGTATATAAAATAAATACACTCGGAGTCGGAGATACGTTAAGGTTCTTTTGGAGGTCCATGCATGCTGAATGTTTGATTTAAATTTTAAAATGACAACAGTGAGAAAGGGGTGTTATCGGGATAAAATAAAAGATGCGGGGCAATTTCGAGAATATGCCCGAAAAAAGAGAAGCGAAAGGAATATATATATATATA